CACCTGTTCCAGAGGCTGAAGTGGATAGGCATCGTTTCAATAGTTGCTGAACCTTTAGAGTTGCTCGTTTTGTGCTTCGCCACACAAATTTGGATAACGTTTGTTCCTTGTTGCACGCCTTTTTCTAGTTCCTGTACAGTAACTGTCGAGCCAACGCCAGACCGGTTTCCTTTAATGATAAATAGGTTCCCAAAAACCTTTGAATCTTATTCATTGGATTGCAAAGAGTTTTGTCATAATCCTCTCGGAGAACAATTTTGGGCCTTGCCTCTAGTTCTGCCAGGCTTTCTTCTATGTCTTTAATATTTTTTTCATTTTCTATGTACTTGTATAGGTCGTCGATGGATACATCCTCTTCTAAAAGGTTGGCCTTGTATTCCATAAGTTTTTCATTCGCCTCTGTTTGGAATCTAAGTCTCAAAGGCCTTAGTTCAGATAATATGACCTCCCGTTTATTATTTTTTGCATATTTTGGGAGTGCAGTCACAATGCTGCATATGTTCTTCAGGTACTGCCCAGCGTTCGCTTCGGTCAATACTCCACTTTCAACATTTGTTAAAATAAACTCCTTTATTTTATCTGTGTTTTCAAACCGTTTAAATGGACACTCCTTGTCTACAACAAATTGATTTAGGTATGCCAAAACCCTCTTCGGCCCTGGCAGAAAATTATTAATTTGAGCATCAGTCTTTTTGGCTTCTCTTCTCATTCTAATGTAAGCGGCGATGACCTCGTCATCGTCACCTACTGAGGGCAATGCTGACAACCTTGACTCTGCAGACACACGTTCTGTAAAAAATGTTGAACAATTACCAACCATTAACATTTCATTTAAAAAAAAAGGTAAAACGAGAATGTTAGTAGAAGAAAGGCACTAACCTTCAGAGTCCCCATTTTCAGCTGAAGGTGGTGTTAGAGGCTGGTGGCTTTGAGACACTTCATTTGCATTTCCAGGGGTATCTTCTATACTCTCCTTCTCATCCCTTGTTAAAGAAGAATTACTTTTACTTTGGTTTTCTAAAATAATAAAAAACAGAATATTTCAGAAACATTGTATCGAATGACTACAAACCGAAGCAAACTTCTGACTTGTCGTCCCCTACGTATCGGAGGGCAAGCCCGAACTTTAGAAGGCCTTCGACCAGAGTTTCTTTCTGTCCCCTATTCAGATTTAGTTGGTTTATGAGCTCATTGCCATCTTTTAATCTGAATCCGTGACCGAACTGGTCGTGTATTTTCTTACTGGCCTTTTGGTATGTAATGCCATCTCTTGCTAGCTCTAACGCATGGCATTCTTTCAAATGTTTCGCAAGGTTTCCGCTTAAGTGCCAGTGCCCGTCGTTGCAATAATTGCACCGCCTGTGATCTTTTCGTATCTGGTGCGCTTTGATAGGCTGAAAAATCGAAAGAGAGAACTTAATTAAAAGCACTAGATTAGACACTTTAAAAAGTTCGGTTCATTTTTGTACCTTAGGCTGTGGCCCTCTCTTTTTTCCTGGTTTGGGACTTGCTTCGGGTCCGGTTTTGGCCTTTTTGGGAACTGGGGCAGAGGCGTCCCCCACAGACTTCCTCTTCCGACTATTTTTTGCACAAGACGAGGCCTGCTTCTCGTTGTTACTCTTGGCAACACATTTTTTTTTTAGATTGAGGAGACTTGAATGATTGTTTTGCACTAGTTTTTGGAGATGAGGCCCCCTTCTTGCCGTCACTCTTAGGAACCTGACTCTTGATTGCCTGAAAGAAAATGTCTTCATTACTTTTACAGTCTGAAAAATAATAAACATAGTAATTAAAATTGTGCTACTTACTGAGTCAACCTTAAGTTTCTTGTGAGGTGACTTGTGGTCAGACATCTCCTCCTCGGAGTCAGAGTCGCATTCACTGGAATATTCTTTAGACTTGCTTTGTCCATCTTCCTTCGGGTCATACTCGGAACTCTATAGAACAATTTCTCGGTAAGATTAAATTTGTTTGATGAAAGTGCTTTTAATGTTTTGTAAATCTACTCACGGTTTCCACATCTCCCCACAGGTCTTTTTCAGATTCTTCATGAGCATTAACGTAAATGGGCTCCTCTGGCAACCCATCATCAATGCTCTAAAAAAGAAATTTTTTATTAAAGTAATGTGTGATTTACCTACAAATAATTAAAGTTTTCCTCGGATTCTAGTTTTACTTACACGTGAAGGTGATGGGGGGTTTTCACTCCGCGCAGGTTGAGGGTTTTCCGTTGGCCGTGCCTTTCTAGTTGGGTTTCTCTTTGGAACCAAGTCTGGACGAGGTACTCTAGGAGTCCTTGGGGCTACAAAAATAGTCGGCTTGCCATCGTCCAAAATAATTGAAAATAGCCTCGGCACAAAGACGGCAAAAAATGCTTTATAAAGTCCTAATTGCTCAATTCTAGTTTGGACGTAGAAAGGAGAAGTCTTATAAAAGTCTTCATCACTTTCGTAGTTAACTAACAAATTAATGACTTGTTTCGCTGCCTGGTATGTGGTTATGTCTGGTAGAGCTGAAAAAAATATCGTCTTATTAGAAGGATACACACCGCTTATTTAGTAACATTATAAAATTTTATGCTGTTATAACATAAGTTGATGGTAAGCGACACGCGTTTTTTTTTAAACCCTGAATAGCTGAAGTGAAACGATGGGCAAGCAAGATCCTTTTTATAAAAGGTTGGCATTCAACATTTACCGTTCATGTCAGCTTCAGAAACTCGGCCAGACACTTCCACCATCTCATGCAGCAGCGTGTCATATTCCTCCTGTTCTAAAGAATTGATATCGAGTTCTAAGAGTTTCAGGCATGCTTGTCGTTTGTGTTGATCTTCCGTTTCGCATAATTCGTCGTTTACAAAGCAAGCAAAGTCGAAACCTGCATCATCGTCATCCTACAAAAACAGATTTAAAATGTAGGTAAGCTGACTGTACGTATTCTTTTTTAAAAAAAATTGTTGTATTGTAAAGAGAAATTTGATTTTTATTCAACTAACCGTTTCTTGAGAACCTGCGGCAGAAACAATTTTGGTAGATCCGGCAGTGACAACTAAGGCAGTACTGGAAGCAGGAATTTCCTCGGGATTTGCAATCTCGGCAGAACCGGATGGCGGAATATCTTCAGCAGTGACAATTAAGGCAGAATTGCAAGGCGGAACACCCGCGGGATTT